CAGCAAAACAGAATCCTACCTTCCTGCTTTTAGAAAAGGATTTAATCAATCTTCTCAAAATCTGCTGGGAATGGTTCACCAGTGACTGGTGTAGACCCTAGAGACCTATAATGAAAACACTAAGATCACAGAAGCAAGAACTCATGAAAAAATGGTCAAAGAAATAAGGTGACACCTCAGTATCTTAAAAAAAATGCACAGAATTTGCCCCATACAGGACAGAAGTTGCCTGTGGCTATCATGGGGCATGGTTAATGCTCTACTCCTTGAGAAGCAGTGGTTTAGAGTCTTGTATCAGGAACACCCACGTACAGGAAGACATGATTGTTTGGGGGAAATCAAACAGAATCAGATAGTTTGGGGTTTACTTGCTTTGCTTAGAGCAAGGAAGAGATTTATATGCCAGCAGGAAAACAAAACAAAAACAAAACCCACATTAAGGATATGCAGATGCAAAAAAAAAAGTTTCTACAGATAAGAAAACACAAAATCATATGCATATTTTTTCCTCTATGAAAAATATCTAAGCTATGTTACAGCACACTGCATTCCTTGCGTAGGTGAGACTATATACCCAGTTCATCTCAAACATGGTCATTTATCACTTTTCCTGTGCCCAAGCAAACAAAACAAAATCCAGTAACATAGCTGAGCCTTTAAAGCAGGAGATGCAGATACCACTGGGCTCTTTGTGTTGTACAACCACTGATGCTAGAAGAAGGAAACATGTATTTTATTCCCTCCGGCCCCTCCTTGGAGTTTACCTGTGAGAGACCTTTGGAAACAGATGTCACTCTGCAGCTTACTTGGGCTGCTTGCACAGCAGCACTTGAAACTGGTTGTGATTCCAGTTCAGCCATAAGCATTGGACCATGGCTCGAATCTGCATCTCCAAGAATTTCTGCTGTGAAAGAAAAATAAGGAAAAAAAAAATTCTGATGAATTAGAGTAATAATATCCCAGACAGAGCAGATCATGTGAAGCAGGATGTGCCTGCTTCAAGGCTGAACAGTGGAACATTAAATGCTAAAAAGAACAGTTTCCTCCTTTCATACTCATGGTAATATCCCTAAAATTGCCCTTGTAAAGGAAAAATAATAAGCAAATATATAATTTATGTCTGCGTGTACGTGTCTTTGAAAATGACAAAACAAACAATAATTTTATGTTCTGTAAATTTCCAACATGCCAACAGTTCATCATATCATTTTATGTTTAATAAGTTTTATCTCACATATTGGAAAGAGTCTGGAAAAAGCTTCTTCATGGAAAGGTTTCACTCTTGTGTGAGTTAAAAGAAACTTGGATAATTGTCTACCTTTTTTAAAAATATATATATAATAATTTGCTCTGTAACCCGTGTTTATCATGCTTCTGCAGCCTGCAAGCATGATAAACATCTTTTATGAAAGATATACCGACAGCTCACAAAATAACTCTGCCTTCTGTTACTACACAGAGCCAAAGAAAGAATTTTAAGTCTAATTAACTGTAATTATTGTTCACTTTAAGACTACATGTACCATATTTTGTGAGCAATTTGGTTTTTATATCCATGATTTTAATCCCTGAAAACAAGGATTTATAAAGGAAATGCTGATCTCTACAATGCTGCCATATGTCCATACAAGCAACACTTTCTATATTCTACAAGTAGACAACAGATTTCCATACTACAAATTAAAAATGCTCACCAAACTAAAGGCATTCATAGATGCATAATGCCTAGCGTTCCTATAGATATATTTGCAAGTAACTCATTCTGACAGGGAAACCATCATACTACTGCAAGGTTATATGCTTGACTAGTCAAGTGTTTTAATGTGTACAGAATTACATACCCTGAAATATGTGGTTTTACGATTATTTAATCTTATCCTTAAAAATAATTCTTAAATAATCAGGAAATAGCATTTAATCCTAACTCACAATAGACTAAAGGAAGTGCAATCTCACATACCCATGAAGGATACAAAAGACTTGGAGGAAAAGTGGAAAAAAAGTACAGATCATTCTCTGCCTCCAAGTAATTATTTCATATTCAGCACTGACTTCATTATCAAAATGACTTGTAGACAAGATCTTCTGATCCTTCCTGACACGAAAATATTGTTAGTTTGCAAATGGGTCCTAGATTTCGTACTGCTTTCTTTGTTTAGTCATGTCAATAAATACCATATTCTGTGTAATTAGAGGTGGGAAGAAATGGAAACGAATTAGAAAGCAACAGAATTTGGTCTGGAATTATTGCAGTTCATGTGTAAAGTGCAGAACATTCGCCTATGGTAAAAGTCTGAGCCAGCTGTCTCCTCCAAAAATGATACCACAATAGAAACAATACTGCAAGATATAGAGAAACAAGCATAAAAGATAATTAGAGAAACAGATTGCTTCTAGATTATCATCATATCCAGCAATTGATTTTAAAAAGGGTTTGATATTTAAGGGGCAGGAAAAGGTTATCCTATGCTACATTAAATACATTTAATAAATATGCATAGCAGAGATACAAAAATGCTATGCCAGATACATGCTATGCCAGCTACAAATAGCCTGGATAAGGAGACATCTCCCAATAAAGATAATATTCTCCCATTAATGGACACCTGCCAATTCTCTATGTGGTCCTGAGCATTGTCAAAAATATACAGCAGGTTTTTCTAGATCACTCCTTTATTCCCATGTCACAGCTCTAACTCTACAGTATTAAATGAGTGACATGAAGAATTGAGATGGCAGCATCACATAGCCTTCTGCCAGGCATTCCCACATAACAGATCTGCAAATGACATTCAGCTAACTACTTTTAATTGAAAGTTTGATGATATATTGCATTCCAGATGCAATGTATGCATCTGTGATAGTTTTAAGGCTGACAGTGGTCTAGTTGCTTCAAAATGTTAGGTAACAGTAAGCTTAAAGGATTTACTCTCCAAATAACCAGTTCAAATGTGATATAAATGCAGGCAGAGAAACGAAGCTTCAGTCACATGTTGAACACATTCAAATTCAATCTATTTCCTATTGCCCAAGTGTTAATAAAATGAAAACTCCTTCTCTTGTCAAAATCATAAAAATAAAGAATAAAAGGAGAAAAACACAGTTGTTTGAACACCTTACATAATGGTCCCACTATGGTACTCCACTTTAGATGGATCAGTGCAAGCATGTTTGTCTTATTAAAGCTTAATAATTACTTCAGTTTTGTCTAAGTAGATTTAAAACCACACTCAAGAAAAGCAGAAGTTCCTACAAATCTGTAGCAGTTTAATTAAGCAAGTAGAGAAATATATTTTTAGATAAAACCAGAGAAAACAGGGTAGAAAGATGAAGGAAACAAAGGAGGGGCCACAATTCTCTGCTTTACCAGAGCAATATATTCCTCCACTACCTTGAACAAGCCACAGTGCATGCTTCGGCTACCCATCTGGGAGAAAAAGAATTTCCATATGTTACAGGAATATTATGAAGCTAAAATACATTACAGATTGTGGGACAGTACAATATTGCTCTGATGGAGTGATAAAAGTAAGGGGGAGGAAAGCGTGAGAAGAGAGTGAAAAGCCTCTGGCCCTGCCAGTGCAACTATCTGCTCTACAGAAACAGACTTCAGGAACGGTCAAATCCAGTTTTTGAGCTCTGACTTAAAGGAATAAAACATTTTGCATAGGGAAGTGGATACTCGGAATGATTTTCATTCAGAATGTATTTCAGAATTCTGCATTAACCAGAGAAGTGAAGACGCTGCATGCGCCAAACCCACCCAAAACCTTTCTCAGAATAGGAATGCTAATCTCTTCATTGCAGCAATTGTCTGTATTTAACACAGGAGTTTGACTGCACTCTCTGAAATAATTGCAGATTATAGAATCTCAAAATACAAGCAAATATCACAGAGTGGAAACAACCTAATTATACCTGCACTTTGGGCAAACTGTCCTGGTGAGGAAGCACGGAAACCCTGGTTTCTACTCTCAGAAGTCCAAGGAGGTGGCCGGTCCATATAAACCGAGTGTCCCATTAGGATATTCTCTGCTGCTCTTGTCAATGCAGGTCTTTGACCTTCGCTGATCTCCCCAACACTGTCATCAGAATCCTGCAGAGAACAGCAACAACAGAACAACAGGTGTAAAAATACAACTCATTTCTTCAAAAGAATCAGACAATATCTAATTACTTTAACTCTTAAAGCATAAATAAACTTAAGTCTACCGCTAGTAGCCTTGAAAAAAAGACAATTGAAGAGATATCATCTAAGACCTATTTTTATCTGTACCGGAGTGAAAAGAATCACTCACAACCAGAGAACATCACTTCTTTTGTTAGTGATGCCCCAAGCTGAGCAGAAACCAAGTTACATATTTAACACAGGAATCATTAACATTACAGATACTAGTTATTGCTACCTGCTTGACCTTGTCACATTTGAAATATTTACAAGCTGTTGAATCTCTGTTGTATAGAACATCAGATAAAAAGATTCCTTTTTAAATAGGTTTAGATACTGATAAAACAAAGATGTTTCTCTGAACTCTGACTTTCAACCAAGTTGCAAAGAAAAAACAGTAAATTTGTTTCTATGCAAGGCAAAAAATGCCAAAAATCAGGCTGAATACAGATAGAAACACACATGCATGGCGTTATTGTAAGAAAATATCAACAACATCTACAAAAATATTCTTCTCATATATATTAGAGACTATGCTTGTATCTGCCTTGCCAAAAGCTGTGAAGGAATTTACTAGTCTTGTATGATCAGCCAGAGTGGCCTGTGACCAAGGCAAAAGGCAACTTAAAGACGCATTTGTATTTGGCAGTGCTGACAAGAAAATGTCATTACAATTACAGTCAGATTCAGAGCTGACACTGTAGAAAGCTCTTCACTAAGTTCATCCATCAAGGCTTGTTAAGCAAAATGCAGACAGACAGACCAGGAAACAGATAGGAGGTGAGTGAAGTTGTTACTTTAGAACCAACTGACCAAGAAGGAAGGAAGAGATTGCATATGCACCAGTAGAGCCACAAAAAGCAAAAAAACTGTCCTAAATAATTGTATTCATGAATTGTGTTGAGGTATTCAAGGTTCACTTGCTTGACATCCCTCCAGCTATGTTAATTTGATCAGACATCTACTCCAAACTTTTTTTCACACAGAAAATACCCAGATGTGCTACAAGCAGACAAACAATTGCCCCTTGAAATGCAGACCATTGTATTTTTCTGTTTTATTTTTATTTATTTATTTTCTACCAACCTATTAGGAATATTTGGGATTTTGCTCCAAGATCAGTATCAATAACACATGCGAAACTGCATGTAAACATTTCTGGCAGTTTTTCATCATATCTACCCAAAACACTCATCTGGCTGTAAACGCCTGGAACTTGCACTGCTAAACAAACCACTTATACTGCCAAAGTGACAGAAAGCTTCCCTGGTTTTCAAAATGACAAGACAAATCTGGCAAAGCGTAACAGTCGTACATAGTATCAAAGCTGGTTATGTGTGATAGTACATAAAGCAAAATTGTTTATAACACTAAAACTTCAGCACTTTAAAATATTTAGGTGAGAGAAGAGCCAACAGAAGTAGGATCACTTCCAACAGAGATTAAAGTGGATGAACCTGTTTCATAGCCAACAGGAAGAAGCAGCTTCAAATATTTTAGCCATTTTTGAGTAAGAAATCATCATTTCAAAACTCACCTCCAAATGGCACATTTCTTCTTGTGCAGCAACAGGGGCTTGATTTAGTTTGGCAAAGAGAGCCAGAACAGGATCCCTGTGATAGCTCTTATGGGGTCTTTTCACCACTTGCCCTTCACTGGGAGGATCAAAATCCTTTAAACAAAGGAAAAAAGTTCACATAATACATGATCCCCAAATTATTCTTTCTTTTGTTCACAATAAACTTTCTTCTTTTACAAAGGAAATTGTTGCAGTTACCCACATTCGGAACACGCGTCATGAAAATCCAAGCATCTAAAAATCAGACTGTCACACAGTCATCTTCTTTTAATAAGAAAAGTGCACAAGCACAGAGCTTGATACAGAAGACTGTAATAATTTCAGATAGATGATGTTTATTAGGCCTTGGGTCCAGGGGGACAGTTAAATTCACACATACCGGATGCTTGCAAAGATCTGGCTGTACAGCTGCTCTCACCAGCAGGGATTTAGCAGGGAAGAGTTTGAGGATGAGAAAGATTATTGGAAGGAAATACGATCCATTTGACAGAAGGAAAAAGAAGGATACCTTAGCAGTCAGGCTTACTACCCTGATGAGGAGTACTTTATCCCAAATTTACTTAATAACAAGAATCTTAAGCCTAGAATTTAGGGGAGGAAGTCCTGCTAACAGAAAAGGTACCCAAAGGGAAAACCATTGAGAGGGACTTTGTAGTCTTGATCAAAAGGGAGGATATTCTCCTCAAGGGTCTATACATTCACGAAAACACCTTCAAGTGCAGGGCATAGCCTTAGGGCTATGACACAAATGAAATCATGCATATTTGATGGAACATCCATGAGTGGATCTGAGACATGTATGGATACTAGTGCTTAGGACAGACAAGCAGGAAAAAGAAAGGGGGTATCCTGCTCTAGATCACAGAAACGTAGCATCACTGAGGTTGGAAGGAACTTCTGGAGATCATCTTGTGCAGCTTCCCTGCCCAAAGAAACATCAAAGAGCCACGTCCAGTTGGGTTTTGCATCTCTCCAAAGATGGAGTCTCCACAACATCTCTAGGCCTTGTCCCAGTTTCTGACCACCCTCTCCACAGAAAAGTTTCTAACCTACTCCCGTATTTCTATTTGTGTCCATTTTTATTTACCTTCTCCCTGGGCACCACTGAGATGAGTCTGCTTCTGTCTTTTCACTACCTCCTATCAGGTGTATATACACATCAAGATCCCTCTGAGCCCATCCCTGCTCCAGGCTAAACAATTAAAACTCTCTCAGCCTCTCCTACTGACATCCACTGTTCACCACACTCGGCAAGTTTTCACTTCAGGGTCAAGGAGTTCCTTGAATGCATTGAGCTCAGCAAGTTTTCAGTTCAGGGTCAAGGAGTTCCTTGAATGCATGGAATTTATATTTTATTATAACCTAGTTTGAAAAACCGGCTTTTTTTTTTTTTTTTTTTTCCTCCTTTGGAACTCTGAAATTCTAACATCTTTTGTAAACACACAGTTTAGAAGTGTAGGTTTAAA